CTGGGACACTGTGGGTGTACCCTAAGTTTGTATATAATGTCAGACTTTCACGGTGGCAAGTAATTTTACTGAACATGCTCTCCCCTTTTTTAATTCTTTGATGGGGGGGTGAGGGGAGGGAAAGAACATATTGGGGAAGTATGAGATATAAAAACAAAGGGCATTGATAGACACTTATTTTTTTAAATGCTCCTTCAGTTGAATTTAATCAACAATGATTAGATATTGTCCCAGGGTGACAGACACTTACAGGTACTTGGGGTCCTTGAGAAGCTAGAAACAACAGAGCTTAGCACCTGGTTTGTAATCAACCAGCATTTATTAAGCCCCTCCTATATACGAGGCACCGTGCTGAGCACAGGACATGCAATGGTAAAAATGAATCAGTCTCTGCTCCAAAGTGTCTGTCGGGAGAGATAATAATGGACACATTAATTAACAAACACCAGATAATTACAGAGTAGCTGGGGAAGGCCACACTGGCAGTGAGGGGAATTAGGAAAGACTGGATGTGGAAGGTAGGGCTTGAGCTAAGCCTAAAGGAAGCCAGAGACTCTTGGGACAGAGTGAATTGCAGACGTGGATGACAAAGTCACAGAGATGAAATACCAAGCGTTCTGTCTGAGAAGCAAAGAAGCATCGCACTACCACCCCGGCTTCTCTGATGGCCACCCCTGTGATGCATATGTTTTGTACATAAAGCGAGCAAGATGCCACCTATTGATTGTCTGAAAGATCTCTCAGTCCATGTGAAGAAACTGAGACAAGAGAAGCAGGAAGGGCAAAGAATGTTGGAATCCATCAAATGTTTTAAAGTGCCTACTATGTGTCAGGTGCTGGGGATACAAAAAGAGGCAAAAGACGGTCACTGTCCTCAAGGAGCTCATGATTTAATGGGAGAGACAACCTTCTAACAAATACGTACAAACAAGATACAGACAGGATAAATAGGAAATAATTGACGGAAGAAATGTGATAAAACTAGAACAGGTGGGGACAGGCTGTAGTCAAATTTAGAAGCCGGGGAAGTCACTAGGCATTGATGAGCAAGCAGAACCTTCCAGGCCTGAGAGACAACCAGAGAAAATACCCAGAGCCCAGAGATGGAGGGGCCTGTTCATGGAGCCCCCAGGAGGCTAGGTCGCTGGAGTGCCTGGAGGGAAGAGGGTGTGGTAGGAGGGGGCAGGCTTTGAATGACAGAGGATTTTATATTTGATCCTGGAGGCAATAGGGAGCCACGGAAGTTTATTGTGTAGGGGGCTGACGTAGCCTTACCTGGGCCTTAGGAAAATCACTCTAGGGGCTGGAGGATGGACTGGAGTGGGGAGAGACTTGGGGCAGACAGACCCACCTGCCGCCATTGCCACAGTCCTGGTGTGGTATGATAAGAGTCTGCACCAGGGTGGGGGCAGTGTCAAGGGAAAAGAGGGGGTCATCAGAGAGATGCTGCAGAGCTGAAATCAGCAAGCCTCGGCAGCCACTTGGATGTCAAGGAGGGAGCGGTGAGAGGGGGTGAGGAGCCCAGGACTACGCTCCAGGAGGAGGATGGTGCCCTCTATGGTAGTTGGGGAGGTAGGAGAGGAGGAAGCTTGGAGTTCCATTCTGGACATATTGAGTTTAAGATGGACATCTAGTTTGAGATGTCTGAAAGACAGTCAGTGATGCAAGATTGGAGGTCAGTGGAGAGAATGGGGCAGGAGAGGCAGATTTGAGAATCCTCAGCATAGAGATGGTCATTAAATCCATGGTTGCCAGTGAGAGCACCAAGAAGATGACCCAGGACAGAGCCATGAAGAGCCCCTATGGTTAGAGGACAGGATCTGGAGGAGGAGCCAGCAAAGAAGAAGCTGAGATTAGACCTCCCCCAAGTAGAAGGGCTCACTTACTCTTGTATTTCCTCTTATCTACCCTAAACTGCACAGTTCCCTCCACTTCTATTTTACTATTTGTCTTAATAAATATGTTGCTCATTATTGGTCATTACCTTTTGTGTGGCCGGAGTTTGGTGGGAGAGAACTAAGCCGGGTAACAGTGAGCTAGCTATGATCGTCCCCTTTGGAGCCACTGGGGAACGTGGCTTTTATTATTAACCCCCAAATAGAATGTCCGAATCCTAGACTACAAAGACTTGACCGAGGTAGAAAAATGTCATTCGTGTCCAATACCCCATCTTGGACATGGGCAGGGCACCCAGACACAGCAGCTCTCACCTCCTGCTGCCCAAAAACGCAGAAATTGCATTGTGTCTTCAAGACCAGCAGGCCAGATACCCTATCATGCCTCCCCCCCTTTCTATCTGTCCGAGTCTCTGCTTTATTCTCCATAAAGCCTCCTCCCCCAATCTCTGCTTCCTCCACTTTCTCATCATCATTGGCTTGGACTCTCCCTTGGACCCCGACAGTTCTTTCTGTCACCCTCAGGACACCATTAGCTTCCTAAGGACAGATACTACCTTTTTTTTCACCTTTTATGCAGGAACCATTTAAGAAACAATCATTGGCTTGAACTAAACTATTCCCACCCCACCCCCAACCCCCCCCTCTAGTAATGTAGAGAAGTAGGAGATTCCCTCTAGAAGCCTTGGGGGAGACCTTGAAAGGGAAGAAATGTGCCCCCGGACAGTTACTAGAGACAAAGAAGATGGCGGCTCCCTGGCGCTCTCTGGACTCCCTCAATCACCCACCCTGGATATGTATTCAAGGCAAGTCATCACGCCCATTGGGCGTTGGCTGAGTGCATGATTTCACGTGGTGTAATAGCAATTAACATTTATGGAGCACTTAAGGTTGGCCAAGCTTTATCTCATCTTTTTCTCTTGACAACTCTGGGAGGCAGGTGCCATCAACATCCATATTTTTACAGATGAGGAAACTGAGGCCCAAACAAATTAAGCGACTTGTCCAAGGTTATAATAGGCCTTAAGCAGCAGAGGCTGGATGTGAACCTGGATCCTTTGTTTTCTTCCACTCTGAAGCCAGTTATACCAAATATACCCTCGCACAAACAAGAAAAGGATGTGACAGGTTGGTACAATTTAAAGTGGAAAAGGCCCTTTGGAATGTAGATTTGGAGCTGCAAGGGACTGCAGAGGCCATCGGGCCCATCCCCTCTTGTTTTACTAATGAGGAAAGTAGGACCCAGTCAATAGATTCGGATTTTTTAAGCGTCTACTGTGTACAAAGCACTGTGCTGGGCCATGAGAAGTGGCCTAAATATCACTAGAGGAAATCAGGTGCAGGTTCTGACTTCGGGCCCTCTCAGGATAGTGTTGGGACTTGATTTTACCAACTCCCACCCAGGAAGTATCATTGCTTAGGCCAAAGACTCCCCAGGCATCAGTGTGGCTGGATCCAGGCATACCAGGGGAGAGAGGATATGCCTTGGAGAAGGTCCCTCAGGATCCATATCTTGTCTCTGAAACTTCCTCTGTTTAGGACCATGTCCTCCTCCTCTTTACTGACCTTCAGTGGCTCCTTAGGAGGATCTTCCTGCCCTTCCTGCCCTTCCTGCCCAGCCCCCTGCCCATTCACACAGACCCCCTTCCAGTCTTCTCACCCTCTGTGATCCAGTGCCTCCAGCCTCCTGGCTCTTCCCCCATCTCCAGACTCCAGGCATTTTCCCTGGCTGCCCTCCTCCTGCCTCTGGGACTTCCTTCACCTTTCCTAGTTCTCCTTAACCTTCGTGACTTCCTTCTTCAAGTATCCTCAGTTTATCCCACTTCTATCTTCTTTGTACATGGTCGTTTGTGTGTCGTATCCCCTGCTGGACTCTGAGTCCCTCAAGAGCAGGGTCTGCTTGGTGCATAGCAGGCATTCATCAAATGCCCATTGACTGGGGCAACAGGCAAGCTAGGCAGACGGCTTCCCCTCCCTGGGCCTCAGTTTCCACATCTGTCACACCAGAAGGCTGACCTGAATGGCCTCTGAGCTCCCTTTCTAGACGCAGGCTCCCACAATCTTGTGACCCCGTGAACCTGAAGATGCGTAAGGAGCCTCGGGGTCCGAGGAAGACCGCACCAGAGAGGTCCTGCAGGCTGAGCGGGGACACACCAGAAACCCCCGGGGACAATCTCTGTAACTTCCTACTCTGCCCCTCAGCTGCGAGCCTGGAAAGAGGAAGAGCCACGGGCTGGTGCCCCTCTTGGTGGTGGCCCCTGGAAGGAGGGCAGGAGAAAGTTCTTGACCACGAGAGCCGTCTTCCAGGGAGGTTGCAGACTACCTGTCACAGGTGATCTTGGAGCAGAGGTCACGGGAGCACTTGAGGAAATTTCACGGGAGACTCTGATTCAGGTGTAGGTGGGCCTAGAGGCCTCTGAGATGGCATCTACTTCTGAGGGTCTGCAAGTCTCAGGGCCTATTGCTCACACTTGGAACTTAGCTGCTCCTCAGCTTTGCTCATTGGAATCATTCTTCCTCAAGGCTCAGCTCAAGTGCCCCTTCCTCCATGAAGCCTTTCCTGATTCCCGCCACCCTCAAACCCTGGCTGAAAGTGCATTCTCCCTTCCCAGATTTTTGTATGAATCTCTCCTTTTAGCTCCTGATGTGGGTCAGTTCCGATCCTACCTTTGGGACTTCCACCAAACCTTTAACCTCTCTGGGCTTCACTTTCCTCATCTGGAGAATGGGAAGAGGGTCCCTTCCAGCTCTGAATCTCAGATTCTTTGCCCCTCCCCACCTCCCCCTAGTGGGTCCTCATTTGTGCAGACACGGCATGTCCCTCCACTATATGATGAGGAAAGAGGGGCTGGGAGTACTTGGCATGAAGGGCCCTTCTCTCTATCTCTAGCATTGAGTTCATGGCTTTGTAATTTAATTCAATTCAGCAAACTGTTATTAAGCTCCTACTGTGCTGCAAGGCTCTTGGCTCGGTGTGAGGGGATACAAAGACAGAAAGAAAATAGCTCCTCTTCGACTTGTACACAGTAGATGCTTAATAAATGTTTATTGTACTGGGAAGCGGGGAGGAAAGTGGACCAAGGTTCCGTGACAGTTAGAATTAACTGTGAGAAATAGGTCTGGGGACAGTGTTATCCCAAGAGGCCCATAAGGGCAGAAAGCATAGTGCCAGCTGACGAGGGCCCAGGGACCGGTCTCTGGGAACAGAAGCAGGCCCTTTTTGAGGGCCTCTGGGGAGGGCAAGCTCTTTGTAGGGCTTCCTGTCCTGTTCTCCCAGGGACCTCACTGGCTTCAGGCAGACGGGCAGGCAGGTGGGCGCCATGTGGACTGGTCCCCAAGTAGGGGAAGGCGATGGCCAGCTCATGCTCAGATCCTGAGGCTGTTTGGAGGGGAGGTATTGGATGACTCACCAGGGTGAAGAGGCCAAACTGAGTTCGGTGCCGCAGGGCCTAGTGTTGGGGCTGTATCCGAGAGCAAATGAAGATCGTGCCCCATATTCTGAAGGATGAGCCATCCATGAAGAGTAGCTCGTGGTCCCTTTTTCCCATGTACCCCATTCAAATCCAATATTATGTTACCAAGAGGAATCTGTTAAGCCTGAGGCTCACAGCTGTCATCCTCACCACCCTGAGCTGGCTCATCATGCTTGTGATCTGCATCCACCCCAGGTGGATCACCCTAGAAAATTCCCGCAAGGAATTATGGCAAAACATAACCTTGAACTTTGCTCTCTGGGACAACTGCGTCCAGTGCTTGAACCCCAACGACCTGTCAGGTAAGCCAGTCATCTACCCCCAGGGAGAGGAGGTTTGGCCAAGGCACTTCACCCAACCTGGGGCTCAGGGTCCTTCTGGAACAAGGGGCTTCAGCCAGCTTAGGGGGCTGAGGTCTGGAGGGGAAGGAACTTCCTCAAAGTCCTTCAGCTCGGAAGTGGGGGAGCTGGGGCGTAGAGTGCCCAGGGAGGATGAGCACCTGGAGTGTGCGGGCTGCTTGCTCACCTTTGGTGTTTCCCTGCCACCCACCTCTCCCCTGACGCTCTGAGAAGCCGTAGCATGGGCAGAGGCCACACCCCAGTAAACCATCGCAATGGATAAGCTAAACCAGGTTGAGGGTAACCAAGAGGTCTCAAACCCTTCGGTGAATCAGGGAGGTGTCTACCCCAAGCACATGAAGCCCCTGGTGGAATGGGTGAACGAGAACAGTTTGTTTCAATGGTCATGAAGGTGGCTGAACCAGGTGCTATGGAGTGCTTAGAGCTGGGTTAGATGCCGAAGATGCCAAGGTCGTCCGCTGCAGCCCAGGCCATCACCAACCATCTTGATGCTGTCATGCCACTGGACGGTGATGATTCTGGAGGAGAGAGTGAGGTCGAAGACTTCGCACAACTCTGCCTCACTTAAATCCAATTTATGCACAAGTCAAAAGACATCGCCCATGCCATTTTTCCATTTTACCTTCTCAAATCCTGTGGCCATAGGCAAGTGCAAAGCAGCAGCTGCAGATGCAGTGGGAGCTGTAGCCACAACCCTGCACACAGGCGGCCTGGCCCACAAGGTCATCTTCCTGGAAGTAGCAGCAGGATCTGGCAGCCCACTGGGTATCTGAGTGGCCTTTTAAGGACTGCATCTTTCACCTCCTAGAGTGAGGAAGGGGCTAGAAAAGGTGCCCTAAAAATCATCTGCTTACCTAATCCTGGTCTGATTACCACAGCAGGTGAGAAATCCCACCCTGCAGTCGAAACAAAAATAAGTACAAAAACTCCTGCAGCAGTGATTCCGCTCACCATTGGGACATGGAATGCGCACACACTTAGACATGACACAAAATCCAGTAGACCTGAAAGATGAAGAGCTCTTGTTGCAAGAGAACTCAGCAAGTATCGGATCCAAATAGCAGCCCTGAGTGATTGAAGGCCAGCTTACTGAAGTCCGAGCTGGATACACGTTTTTCTGGAGTGGCCACAGGGTATGACCTTGCCATCTTCGATGTCTGGCAGTGAGCGCATCTGTACTGCCAAGGTAAGGGCACTTCTCCCTGGCATTCCGAATTTCTCCATTTACTATAAACAATGGTTTCATGTGTGGGTGGGGAGGTGCCGGCTGATGGAGCACCTGTGTTTTCTTGGTATTGATTATCTGCCAGAGTGTTGGGAGCCCAGCGTTTGGGAGGCTCCGAAGGAAAGTGTGGGACAGAAGAGGGATTAGACTGCCAAGCTGAAGGTCTACAGAGCCGTTGTGCTGACCTCATCGTCGTGTGCCTGAGAAGGCTGGACAGTCTACCAGTGCCATGCCAGGAAACTGAATCGCTTCCATGTGGATTATCCCAGGAAGATGCTGAAGATCACCTGGCAGGATAAGATACCAGACACGGAGGTCCTTTCTCAAACCAAACTGCCAAGCACTCAACCTCTACTGCAGAGAGTGTGACTTCCATGGGCTGGCCACGTTGTTCAAATGCCAAACATATGTTTGCCTAAAAGACTATTTTATAGAGAACTCACACAAGGTCAGAAGTGATACAAGGACACTCTCAAGGTCTCTCTAAAGAACTCTGGAATCACTTGTGTGACATGGGAGCCCCTGGCACAGGACCGCCCAGCAAGGTGTGCCCACATCAAAGAGGGCGATGTGCTCTGTGAGCGAAGCAGAATTGCTCCAAAGAAATGTAGATACGCAAATTCAGAGCCATCTCCAGTCCACACGTTCACACGGAATATGTGTGCCCGACCTGTGGCAGAGCCTCCCGGGCTGGTACTGGTCTGAGCAGCCGCAGTCAGGCACACTGCACCTTGACCCCAGCATAGTGATGCCATTTGGGTGTTCTTCGAGAACAAAGGACGACTGAGTCTGAGACCCAAGGTTCCTGATTCCAAGTCCAACACTCGTTCCCCTCCTGGGTCAGCTGTCCAGTCCTGTCAATTCTACCTTCATAAAATCACTTGCACACCCCCACCCCCACCCTCTCCTCTGAGCTGCCCCAACCTGGTGCAAGCCCACATCCTGTCACGCCTGACCATTGCAGTGGCTGCTGGGGGGGGGGGGGGGGCGGCGTCTGCCCTCCTCAACTCCCTCCCCACTCCTGTCCAGCCTCCACTCAAACCAATCTTCTGAGAGGGTGAGCCTGTCACCCTGCCTTTGTTCCATTTCCCATTCCTGACGTTCTCACTGATCGTCCCCCCATGCCTGGAGTTCTCTCCCTGTGTTCTCCTCCCAGCTTCCCTGGCTTCCTTCGAGTGTCACCTAAAACCTGGCCTCATGCAAGAAGCCTCTGCGGCTCCCTGTGATGTTCGTACCCTCCCTTTCAGATCATCCCCATTTCGTCCTGTCTAGTACAGAGTTGTTTGCTTGTTCTTTCCCGCATCAAGACTGTGAGCTTCTGAGGGCAGGGGCTGACTGCCTCCTGTCTGTCTTTGTATCCTCAGTGCTTGGCACAGCACACAGTAGGTGCTTCCTAAATGCTGGGTGACCGCTGGGACAGCTTCTGTTTCTCTTACAGTTTACCTCTTCCTCTCTCGAGGGATCATTTTTCTGAACCTGGTCTTCACCTCCCTCCTCATTCTCTCCATGATATGCTCCTTTCGAAGAATATTCAGTCGTGTTTCCAGGCTGGACTTTGTCTTCTCCATTGCCAACTACGTCTCAGGTTCTGGATGGTGGAAGGCAGGGGCTGGAGCTGGGAAGCAGCAGGGAGGGCCAAGTACTATGGATGCAGCACTTAAGAGTGCTGACTGTGGAGGGCAGACCTGGGTTTGAATCTCAGTTACTTCTTAGCTGTGAGACCCTGGGCAAGTCACAGAGGTTCAGTTTCCTCTGTAAAATGGGTATAATGGCACCTACCAGGAGGTTGTTGCAGGGACCAAATGAGACTATGTATGTGAATCTTAAAGATGGGGGGGAGAAAGAGGGGGGGGAGGAAGGGGGAAGGGGAGGGGGAAAGGGGGAGGGAGAGGGAGAAGGAGGGAGAGGGAGGGAGAGAGAGAAGGAGGGGGAGAGAGAGAAGGAGGGGGAAGGAGAAGGGGGAGGGGAAGGGGAAGGGGAAGGGGAAGGGGAAGGGGGAGGGGAGGGGAAGGGGGAGGGGGAGGGGAGGAGGAGGGGGAGGGGAGAGGGAAAGGGAGGGAGGGAGAGGGGGGAGGGGGAGGGAGACAGAGACAGAGACAGAGAAACAGAGAGACAGAGAGAGTGCAGTGGATAGAGCCTGGGCTTGGAGTAGGAAGACCTGAGTTCGAATCTGGTCTCAGAGATTTATTAGCCTAGCTGACCCCGAGCAGATTACATAAGCCTCTGCTTGTCTCAGTTTTATCATCTGTAAGATTGGAATACTAACAATAATAGCACCTGCCTCTCAAAGGTATTGTGAGGATCAAACGAGATTACAACTGCAGAGTGCTTAGCACAGTGCCTGGCATGTATTAAGCACTATCTAAACATTAGCTGAGAATAAATAATAATAACAATGAGAGACAGAGACAGAGAGAGCTCAAGCATTGATTGTGTTCCAAGGACTGTGCTAACCACTGAGGAAAGAAACACAGGCAACCGTGACATGGTCAGCCCTGCCCTTGAGAAGCTTACGCTTTAATGGAAGGAGGAGAGCTGGAGGCTGGGGGTTGGTCTGGGGATGACCTGGAAGGAGGCGAGGCTGGTTCTGGGCAAAATAAGGCCCAAATGCACCCATCAGGAGTCGAGGGTGGCTCCAGGGGCAGCGTCCACATTTCTGGTGGTGAGGAGGAAGCAATGCTAAGGGCCAGAATGGAGGCAACCTAGCTTGGAGATGGTGCTCTAGAAATGTCAACTCTTACAGGCATTATGATGGCAGTAAAGTGGCTCAGTGGACAGAGCCCTGGACATGGAATCAGGAAGATGAGTTTCAATCTGGTCTTACATACTTCCCTGCAGTGTGACCTTGGGCAAGTCACTTACCCACCGTCTGCCTCAGTTTCTTCACCTTACAAATGGGAATGATAATAGCGCCTACCTCCTAGGGTTGTTTTAAGGAGAAATTGAGATTTTTGTAAAAGCATTTTGCAAACTTTAAAGCGCTATAGAAATGCTAGCTATTATTATTGTCATGGTTATTTTTATTCCCATTTTGCAGTTGAGGAAACTGAGGCCTAAAGCATGGAAGTGCCTTGCTTTGGGTCATACTGCCAATTAGTGGCAGAGCAAAGACTAGATGCCAGATGTCTCTTCTTTCTGCTCTGTCCCCTTAAGGCATGTGAGGCCAAGGCTGGCCCACTTTCCTGGCAGACCGGCTCTCATGCTGGCATGATTTGAGAGGTGCCCAAAGCTCCCCCATGCCCTCCTGTAAAAAGGCAAGTGTGACAACCAGAAAGGACAGCACATTCCCCCAGGAGCCCCCTTTTGCACCCTGACTAAGGCCTGAGACAGGCAGGAAACAGACCGGCTGTGCCACCAATAAGTCGCCCTGGTGGGCAAGCCTCTTCCTCTTTTTGAGACTCAGTTTACCTATCAATAAGATGTGTTTGTAGGATTTTTGAGCTGGAAGGGACTCCAGAGATCTTGCAGTCTAATAGCCTCATTTTACAGATGAGGAAACCGTGGCCTACACGTGGCCTACAGGGGATAAAGGACTTTGCCCAGGGTCACTTGGTAGCTAACATGCTCAGTTAGTCCACCTGTAAAATGGGGATAATTATGTTACCTTGCACTTCCTCTCTTACAGGGTTGTTGGGAAGAAAGGGTTTTGTGAAGATGAGCTATTTATCATTACCATTATTGTTGTTGTTTTCCCGGAGATGGGGAGTGAGAAGGGGGCGAGTGGCCGTAGGAGAGAGCCCCTGGACTATTCCCTCTTCTGGGCAGAAGCTCCCTCCCTGTAGGCTTCCCCCTCCCCCCCTCCCCCCCACTCCCCTGGGTGATTCTCTTTTGTCTGGGGGCCACAGTGATGGAGTTCAGAAGCAGGTGGGGTGATGGGCTGTCTTTTTTAGGTAACTCTTCGCTTCTTAACAGGAGCCTTCCCGAGACATTGGCAGCAGCACTCCAGGGCACTTTGGGTAGTCAGGGCCTTGGGCACTCTTGTCATCTTCTGGGCCATTGGAGGTGTGGCTGACATCTCCCCAAAAGCTGACTCTGGGGGAGGGGTTTCTAGGAAGAGGCCCCCACTTTTGCCCCCTGGCTGTAGCTGAGGAAGGCTATATGGGGAGGGCATTTGGAAGCTGCCAGGCTGACTCCAGTGAGGGCATCTTGGGCCCAGGGCTCAGGGGTGGGGGCTGCTTGTGCTCAGCTCCCCAGGGAGTGTGCTTACTTTGGGTGTGTCAGACTAGGACTGGCCTTGTTCCTGTGTATCATGTTGTTTGGACTGCAAGTGCTGGAAATCTTCATCGAGGAAGGGTGGACCTTCCACTTCCAGTGGCCCTTCTACCTCTCTGGCCTTGGAATCCTGAGCTTCATTGTGGCTGGTGAGGGTCAGATCCAGGGGAACCAGGGCTAGGCAGTTGGGAGCTGAGAGCCAGAAAGACCCAGAGAGACCCCAGGGAGGCTCCTCAGGGTAATCCTGCCCTTCCACTTGCATCCCTATTGGACCTTCCTGGGCAATGATTCCTCACTGTTTGTCCCAATGGTCTTAGAGGGTAAGAGCTGAGGGGAAACTTAGAACATAAAGCACAGAATGTCCAAGCTGGAAGAGGCCTTAAAACAGAAAACATTAGAGCTAGGAGGGACGTTATAACCTAGAACATAGACAATCTGAGCTAGAAGAAGCCTTAGAACCTACAACCTTGACTGACCTAGAACCTAGAGGCCTAGAACAGAAAGCACAGAATATCTGAGTTGGGAGGATCCTTTGGGGAAGCCACCTGACGCCAGGCGGTACAGGTCTCCATCAGCTTTCTTCTCTGCCCTGGCCTTCCATCCCAGCTTGGTGCCACCTTTTCTTCCCATAGGCACCATCTGTCTCAAGAGTCACAAATATACCTGGAATATATCATACCTCTCTCCTAAGGATCTGTTTGCCAAATCAGAGAAACAGAAGCGATGTGGAAGCTCATGGCAGCAATCAACCGCATCAGTCATCCCTCAAGAGAGAACCACCTCATCTGCAGTCATCAACCAAGACATATCCATCACCTCCATACTCAACTCCTAGTCTTAACCAAGGGACTTTCTACTCCTGTTGCAGAGGCATCTCCACGGCTGGCCCCCAGCTCTCTCTTCTCCCCCCACCCAGGCTGTCTTTCCTTTAGCAGGGAGGCGGCTCTGCTTGGGCTTTGGACTTCGGGTCCCCTCCCTGCTTGACTTCCCCTGCCTCTTTGCCCAGACCTACCCTCAGCACCCCCTCATTCTCCTTCCCTTGGGTTAGATCTGTTTCTGTCCTCTCCAGATTTGTGGGTTGTAAATTCCTTTAGGACAAGCCCTGGGTCATATCTATCTTCATTTCCCCATTACCAAGCATCCCATCTTGCATAAAGGGTGCACTTGATAAATGTTTGTGGAATAAACAATGGGCAACATTTTCTTAACCCTCTCTGGACACGATCTTGCCTGTTCCTCACTGGCAGCCTTGTGTGTTAATACTTTATCCCCATTTTACAGATGCAACCTCAGAGAGGTAAAAAGTGATTTACCCAAGGTCAGTAGGGAATAGGAACTGGATTTTAACTAAGTCTGTCATGAATGGGTGAGTGGGTGAATAAGTAAAGAGTGAGCAAATGAATGAATGAAGGAGTAGAGTTGGAGTCCAGAGAAGTAGATGGCTTTTCCAGGAGGAGAGACAGAAGAAAAGCTCAGGATATCCTAGGGAAGGGCAGGCAGAGCCCAGAGGGAGGATCAGCTTCCTGGCTAGGGGCCCAGCCTCCCCAGGAAGTCTACATGTCACCAGTGGGGTCAAGAAAAGGACTGGGACAGAAACCAGTCAGTCCTTGGAAAGATGTTGAAGGTCAGAGAACCAGAGAGTCATGGCCTGAGAGCCAGGAGAGGTGGGAGAGGTCATTGAGTCCAGTTCACTCATTACAGAGAAGAAAGCTGAGGCCCAGAGGAGGCTCCACTAAACTTGGAAGCAACTCACTCTACTGTAGGACAGATCACGTCGGAAGGAAATCTTCCTTATCTCAATCTGGACAAATCTATGATCCCGTCTTCCTCGCGGCAATCTTTGAAATCCTTGCAGGCGGCTATGACGTCCCCTCAAAGTCTCCCCTTCTCCAGGGCTAGCCATCCCCAGGTCCTCCAAGTCTAAAGATGGAATGGTTCCAGGCCTGTTCCTCACCCTGCTCACATCTTGTCTGTCCTTCCTTCTTTCCTTCCCTCTTTCCTTGTTGGTTATTGGTACCACAATTGGCGCCAGATGCTGGGGATAGCATGGGCCTCGGGGCAACAGATCTGTTCAGACCAGGGCAGAAGACAGTGACTCTGACCCGCCTCCTTCCTTCCAGAAATGACTTCTTGTCCCTGGGTCATTTCTGCCCAATAGTTGCCTATCATTCTTGTGCTGCTGGTGACAATCGATAGATTTGCCTGTGGAGTAGCTGGCTGTCCCAGATTCGAGTCCTCTGAAAATTCTGTAAGTATATTATGGATAACATATAAATGTATTACTAGACAAGATTCTGTATCAGTTTTGCTTGCTTTTTTCTGTCAAGGGAAGATCAGTTATGGCCTAGTGAAACTCAAAGCACTGGCTGAGAGTTAAAGATGCTGGGTTTAAATGTTTCCTTCCAGGTGCTTACTATTATGTGATCCTGGGCAAGTCATTTCACATCTCTAGGCCTCAGTTTCCTCCTTTGTAAAATGAGGGGGTTGAACTTGATGGCCTCTGAGACAGGAACCTATGAGAAAAATTTGTCCAAGGTCCCACAGGCAGTAAATGACAACAGACACTTGAGTGACAGGAGATGAGGAAGAGAGAAGAAGGAGCTCATGGCAAATGGCCTTAATTTTTTTTCTGTAAGATATGAAGTAAGGACCCCAACTGAGAGAGTGGGGGAAGGGAAGCCATGGGAGGTTTGAGGAAGGATGAGCAAGTTTGGAAGAACAGCTGTGGTGAGTGGGACAGTGAGTTGATGGAGGAGGCATAGTACGATTGCCTAGCAGCAGTGAGGGCCCAGTTCAGATTATGGAATGTAAATTTGTGTTGGACCTATCCAGAACAATTTCATGATTTTCTCCACCTTTATTCACAAATACATAGATAGGAATAAAGGTAGTAAATGGGGAGTGATCCAAGGCTGAGGCTTGGCTGTGAGTAATTGGTGAAATAACAGGATGAGGGACTCAAGAGGACAGTCTAGAGTTGAACTGGTTTACCAAGGGGTCAAGGTAGAGAAAAGAAGAGTGGCTAAGTATGGGGGAGATGATCAAGGAGAGAAATGAGGACTGGAGGCCATGGTATGGATGAAGAGGATGGCTTGGTATTAGAAGGCAGAGGTAGAAGGCAAAAGTAGAAAGCCAACAGATTATGCTTGGATAAGGGAACTTTGGAATTCTTGAATTTTGTTTTTCACTGTGCCAACCACATGGCTGTGGGGAAAGGACCAGGCAAACTCTCTTCCCTGCTTAATACTTCCTCTTTCTTCATATGGTTTGATATAACTAAGTGGAGGCAGATGGTTAACAGGATTATTCATAGATAACCAATTTAAACATTTGTTAAGTGCCTACACCTGCTACATACCAGGCATTGTGCTACACACTGGAGAAAAGAAAGGCAAAAATGAAATATCTCCTTGATCTCCAGGAGATTCTGTTCTGTCCAGCAAAGGCTCAGATGCCTCCTCTCTTGGCTGACCCCTCTCACTTTGCTTTTAGAGGACGCCAAGGGCAGAAAGTCGGAATTGTCCATTTTTATCTCCTCTGCTTTTCTCTGTCTTGGGTTTAGTCAGGAACTTTATTCTGTCCATAGCTGGGAAAGGTCCCTCCTTCTCTGCCTCTCTGACTTAACTTTTAAGTTACCCTTTACATCTGGGTCTTGTACCCATTTAGAGCTTATCTTAGTGTGCAGTTTGAGATGTTGGACTAATCCTAACATCTGCCATATTGCTTTTCAGTTTTCCAGAAGTTTTTGTCTAATAGTCCTGCAAATTATTAAAGTCTTTGTAGCCCCTTCATTTTACAGAGGAGGGAACTGAGGCCCAGAGAAGGGGAAGTGACTGTGGCATGTTGGCCATTCAAGAACAGAGTTTGTAACGGGGGTCTGAAAGCATCTCCAATAGCAGCCTGGGGAAGAGAGGTCTTACAGGGATCTGATGGTAGGGGTTGAAGAGTGATATTCTGCAGAATAAGGATTAGTTCTGTTTGACCTAGAGGACAGAACAAAGAGCATTGGGTAAGAGTTGACAAAGAGTAGATTTAGGCTTGAGACAAAGAAAAGCTTCCTAATAATGTCCACTGTCCCAAAGTACAATGGGCTGCTTCCCAATTCACTGGAAGTCTTAGAGAAAAGGCTGAGTGACCAGTCGTCCAGGCTGTGGTTGAGATCAGGTGACTTTTCAGGTGAGGTTTAGACCACACGGCTATTGACATGCCTTCCAGCTTGGAGATTTCGTGACCCACTTCCCAGCCTTTGGAACCATAGAATAGTAGAATCTCAGAGTTATTTGGAAGGACCTTGGAGAGTGACTAATGCAACCCCCTGCACACCTGGGCAGCAACTTAAAACGTGTCTTTCTTTCTTTCTTTCTTTCTTTCTTTCTTTCTTTCTTTCTTTCTTTCTTTCTTTCTTTCTTTCTTTCTTTCTTTCTTTCTTTCTTTCTTTCTTTCTTTCTTTCTTTCTTTCTTTCTTTCTTTCTTCTTTCTTCTTTCTTTCTTTTTAATTATGACTTTCATAATCATTAACAAACACAAACATGGTGAGCTGCTTTGCATGGCACAAAGTAATTCAACATCTCAACAAGTGAAAGGGTCTTTTAGTCTCCCCTTGAGCACTGCCACAGTAATGACTCCTTGACCACTGGAGACAGTCCTCCAAGTTGTTGTCCAGAAGTCCATTTTCCTTATGTAACCCTTATGTCAACATTTCCTATGTGGCAATGATGGTGAATCCAGGATGGGGGGAGGGGAGTTGCTTCTTACCTCTCTGGCTCATTGCTCCTCCCCAGAAAATCCAGGCAAATCATTATATGACACTGGCCAGAAGCATATTGTCTTTTGACCACAGTATCCCTCAATCTGCCCTCCCTTCTATCAGTCTCCTTTTCTTTCCCTTTTCCCTCACTATTTCTTCCCTCCCCTCTATCTTCCCTTCCCTTTTCTTTCCCCTTTCCCCTTCTACTGCCTATAGGGCAAGTTAAAATTCTATACCTAACTGAGTATGTTATACCCTCCTTGAGCCTAATCTGATGAGAGTAAAGTTCAAACAATGCTCATCTCCCTCCCTTCTTTGCCTCTACTGTAATATGTCTGTGTGTCTCTTCATGTGATGTAACTTACCACTTTCTGCTTCCTCCTTTCCCCTTCTCCCATTACAGTTCCTTTTAACCACTTTATTAGGTTTTTTATCATCACATATAAGTCATCTTAATCCCATCCCCTCTGTCTATGTATATCCCTTCTAAATGTTGTAATAAAGATACAGTTCTCAAGAGCTATAAATATCATCTTCCCATGTGGGGATGTAAACAGTTTAACCTTATTGAATAGTATGTTTTCCTCCCCTTTCCTGTTTACCTTTTTGTGCCTCTCTTGAGTCTTGTATTTGAAGATCAAATTTTCCATAGAGCTCTGGTCTTTTCATCAGGAAAGTCTGGAAGTTCCTACTTCATTGAATGTCCATCTCCTCCTCTGAAAGATTATGCTCGATTTTGCTGGGTAGTTGATCCTTGGTTGTAATCCAAGCTCCTTTGACTTACGGAATATCCTCTGATCTTTTAATGTAGAAGCTGCAAGGTCCTGCATAATCCTGACTGTGGTTCCACAATATTTTTTTTTTGGTGAGGCATTTGAGGTTAAGTGACTTGCCCAAAGTCACACAGTTAGTAAGTGTTATATGTCTGAGCTCAGATTTGAACCCAGGTCTTCCTGACTTTAGGGCTGGTGCTCCATCCACTGCACCACTTAGCTGCCCTGGTTCCACGATATTTGAATTGTTTCTTCCTGGCTGCTTGCAGGATTTTCTCCTTGACCTGATAATTCTGGAATTTGGCTACAATATTCCTTGGCATTTTCAATTTGGGATCTCTTTCAGGAGGTGATTGGTGGATTTTTTCGATGACTATTTTAACCTTTGGTTCTAGGGCCTCAGGGCAGTTTTCCTTGATTATCTCCTGAAAAATGCTGTCCAGCCTCTTTTTTTGATCATGGCTTTCAAGTAGACCAATAATTCTTAAGTTATCTCTCCTGGATCTATTTTCCAAGTTGGTTGTTTTTCCAATGAGGTATTTTACATATTCTTCAATTTTTTCATTCTTTTGATTTTGTTCGACTGATTCTTGATGTCTCATAGAGTCATTAGCTTCCAATTGCCCAATTCTAATTTTCAGTAAATTGTTTTCTTCAGTTATCTTTTGTACCTCCTTTTCCATTTGGCCAATTCTACTTTCAAAGGACTTGTTTTCTATAGTTAATTTTTGTCCTTCCTTTTCCATGCTATTGACTCTCTCTTACGTACCTCTCATTTCTTCTCCCAACTTTTCTTCTACTTCTCTTATTTGATTTAAAAAATCCTTCTTGAGCTCTTCCAAGAAGGTTTTTGGGGCTTGAGACAGTTCATATTGCCCTTTGAGGTTTCAGATGGGGGTATATTGACAGTGTTATCCTCTCCTGAATTTGTGTTTTAATCTTCCTTGTCACCAAGACACTTCTCTATGGTCATTGTTTTTTGCCTTTT